GAGAGAGGAGAGAGAGAGAGAGAGAGAGAGAGAGAGAGAGAGAGAGAGAGAGAGAGAGAGAGAGAGAGAGAGAGAGAGGAGAGGAGGAGAGAGAGAGAGAGAGAGAGAGAGAGAGAGAGAGAGAATAGATACATAGATAGAGAGAGAGAGAGGAAAGGAAGAGAAGAGAGAGGAAAGGAAGAGGAGGAAAAGGGAAGAGGAGGGAGAGACGAAGAAGAAGAAGAAGACAAATAACACCAAAACACGTGAGATTACCTATTCGTACGTATACGGAGAAAAGTACATATCCCTTTTTTTTTCTTCTCCTTCTTCTTTCTTTCTTTTTTCTTTTTTTTTGTGTATGTGCGTGTGTGTATGCGCGCGGTGCGGTTTCCCCCCCCCCCCTTTGTCCGGCCGCGTTGCATGTTAGGCCTATTGCACGCTTTATCCACAGAGGCCTAGGCATGAGAAGGGGTAAGTAACAATTCCGTTTGTGCCCGCGCCTGCTTAGCTATTCCGTGCAGTTAGGCCTATCGGTATTCGGCCGGGAACCACATGGCCGGATAGCTTCTTTTTTTTTTTTTTTTTTTTGTGAGATTTGACTTTGATTATATTTAATTTTGATCGAGTGTTTGTGTTATTTTCTTTTTTATTATTATTACTTGTATCGTTTTTTTTAAGATTTGAGGTTTTATGTATTTTTTTTTCTAAGATTGTGGAAACGATGTTATTTCGGTATTATTATTTCTATTTTTTGTTGTTGTTGCTCTAATCATTATTTTTTATTATTGCTATTTTTATCATTATTGTTATTAGTAGTAGTATTATGGTTATTATTATCAGTGATAATAATCTTATAATTTCTATTACTACTATTAATATATCATATTATTATTTTTATTATCATTATTTTATCACTGTAATTATTGTCATTATTATTGTTTTTATTGTTATTATTATTATTATTATTATTAATATCATTATTAGTATTGCTGTTACCATTATCTGCATCATTATCCTTATTATTATTTATTATTATCATTATTTTTTATCAATATTATTGGTATAATCATTATTAACATTGATATCATTATGATTATTCTTATCCCTATTATAGTTATTATTGTTATGACTATTATCATTATCATTATTATTATTGTCATTTTATTGTTGTCATTATCCTTAGTATTTATTTATCCTTTTATCTACTTATTCGTATATTAAGAACAAGTTTATACCATAAAGAGAAAAAATGTATTTGAAGAGAACAATGTGTTACGCAACAGTACACATTTGGCGATACTGATTGGCCAGTGCATGTGTGACGTCACTAAGTTACGCCCAGTTGCTTCGGCACAAATATTTTATTTATTTTTATTGGCAATATCTACTTTTCACTGCTTAAATTGTGTTATTATAGAGATCGAAATAACTTATATAACATTGGGGTTTACATGGTATTTGGTGTGGATAAGTGATTGTATATATGATGACATAGCATTTGTTGCAAGAACGATCAAAGGGGCGGAGCTAGATGTAAAAGTTGCCAGCTAGTTTCTTTTAAGAAGAATAATGAGAAGGAAACAGGAATTGGAGAGTGAAGGAATATCGTTTTTTATTTTATTTGATTTGATAGTAGTAGTATGTCAACGACTATCATTATCATTATTTTTAATGATATGATGATAATGATTATGATTATGATTATTATTGTTTTTTGCTATTATTGTTATTATTAATTAATATTATATAACTATTATTATTGTTAGTTTTTTTTGTCATTATCATCATTATTATCATTATTATTATTGTTATTATTATTATCATCATCATCATCATCATCATCATCATCATCATCATCATTCATCACCATCACCATCATCATATGCTTCTCCGCCTCCCCCACCCCACCCCCCCTCCCCTCACTCTCCCCCCCCTCCCCTTGCTCTCCTTCCACTCACCGGGGTATGTTTGGGCGGTTGGGCGGAGGGTATGCGATGAGTATATCACGTGGAGGAGATATAACTGCCCGGAGACATTGGCTAGGCCTATCGTATGTTAATGATACCAGTGGTTGTCATAATGCCAGGGTGGTGTGGGTGTACATAGGCGCCGGTGTGTGTGTGTGTGTTGGAGGTGTGTTGTGGGGAGTGTGTGCTGTGTTGGTTGTATGGGGAGGTGTTGTGTGTGTGTTGTGGGTGGTGTGTGGTGTGGCGAGTGTGTATGTTGTGTGTATGTGTGTGGGGGGGGTGTGTGTGTGTTTGTGTGTGTTGTGGTGGTGTGTGTGTGTGTGTGGTGTGTGTGTTGGGGGGGTGTGTGTGGGGAGTTGTGTGTGTGTGTATGTGTTAGGGATGGTGTGTGTGTGTTGGGGGAGGTGTGTGTGTGTGTGTGTGTGTGTGTGTGTGTGTGTGTGTGTGTGTGTGTGTGTGTGTTGTGTGTGTGTGTGTGTGTTGTGTGTGCGTGTGCGTGTGTGCGTGTGTACGTATGTTG